CGATGCCGCTCGCATCCCGCCCTCCTCTCTTCCGCTATGACTCCCGTCTCTATCCCCGACGAACGGCCGATGCACGGTATAATAGCGGCGAAGCCGTGCCATAAAGCGGTACCCCATCATAAAGGCCTCTTCAATCCGTGAACGAGGAGGAAAAGGAGACTCGAGATGAGAATACCGCCCGTCCTACCTAACTTTCTCCTCCTTCTCCTCACCTTCCACCCCTTGCTAGTGCACCCTCATTCCGGCTTCGTGGACTCTCTTTTCAGTCCCGGACTCCCACCCTTCGGCTGCTGCGAGGTGGCGGTCGAGGAAGGCCGCGAAGGCTGAGCGCGAAACTGCTCGGTGGACGGGGGGTTGAAAACAGACGGGGGGGAGGGGAGGAGGAGGGGAGCGAACAGGGCGGGCGGGACGATGGATAAAAAAGGAAGGCGGTGGGAAACACAAGGGAATTCTTGATCTTTTAGCGGGCTGACGCTTTTAATTCACGAGGCGGGCGTCTCTCTTAATTGTGCCCCGCTATTTGGCGACTTCTCGCCGACTCTGCGAGTAACGTCGTTTGTACGTGCCGGGGCGCGCACTTTCCTCTGCCCCCCGTCTCGTGCCCGGCTTCCTGTTCTCGTCGCCGGCCATCATCGATTCTCCCTGCAATCCCGCTTCTTTTTATATCAAGCGAGATTATACGCGCGCTTAAATGATGCGGCGACAACTTTAAATTTGAATATAAAAATTGTCAGTTAGAATGTCAATATTTTTATGTTCATGTTAACTGACGCTTCTGCTTTTATGCGTTGAAATTCAAAAATTTTGCGGACAATCTCATGCTAATAGTATCCTAGCTTTTATATCATCTTTATATATCGCAGGTAAAAAGCCCGTCGGATTGGCTATTATGAAATAATTTTAAACGATTTATCAAAGGTCGTGAAACACTGCGCGATCACCTCTATTAATTTGCAAACTGACGATAAATCTTATTACGAAGATTTAAAATAAAAATCTCCTTTATTACATCTCTATTTGTCAAAGCACATATATTCTCCAGTTCTCTCTTTCGCTCTGTCCCTTTCTCTCATTAAGCTTTCACTTTTTCATTCGTATGCATTTCTATTTGTTCGCTGGCTCGTTCGTTTATTCATTCGTGCAATGAATTCTTATTACCGCAGATTCATAAGTACCATAAGCAAAGAGTATAAATATGGGCTTATGAGATTATAATAAAAAAAAAAAGAAGAAGTCTGACGAGGCGAGGCAAAACTTTAATATTGATCGTTGCAAAGAATGCAAAATATTTAAATAAAAGTAAAGTTGAACGCTTAACTTTCTTCTGGCGTTATGCACGCTTGAAGGGGATGAAAAAAATAAATTTTCACGACGCAGGCGAGGCATAGTAAAAGGCACGGCAGGAGATAAATTCACATCGACGACATCGGCATCTCGCGAAATGGCGGCATCTCGCTATGGATAACCCGCTTGCGTGAATGCCGCAACCTTGTTCTTGTCGTTTTCAGTCGGCGCTGTAAAATATCCGAGAGAAATACGTGTAAGGGAAAACGAATGGGCAGGACGGGGATTGGAGGACGGAAGGGCGTGCACCATAGGTAGGGACCCTCTTACGAGCGGCTTATGTTTCAATTTGTCCGGTCGCGAATAAAATCGTGTTTTACGGGGCGTCAAAATGCCACAATCCACCGGCGTTCCTGGGGGTGAGCGACAACCGTCTCTTCGCTAATCGACTTACTTTTGACATATTCACAAATAGCAATCCTCGTTTCAATTTCTCTGTAAAAGAGTGTACACTTGTATTTTCCTATGTGTAAAAATCTTGGTGCTCTTGCGGCACAGAGGAGTAATATAAGTTTTATTTGATATTGAATTTTTGCTCAAGTAAAGTAAAATTAATGTCGATTAGGGGACAAGATTTCATTCTCCATTTGCATCTTTTAATTGATCAGAGCTCTTTGAATGTTAACTCTTTAATAGTCTCGTTATTATGACGAGCGTGGAAACGCCGTCGGTGATACGATTGAGTATAAAAAATGGGGGGGGAGGGGGAATTTTGCGCAATCGCGCACCATCGAGTGAGACGGTCATATCGGCAATCGGAATCAAGGGAACTCCGGTGCGTACACGCGCAATCGACGCCGAAAAATGTGGAGAGTCGTCCTCAAACGGCGATCGACACAAAATACTTCCGTTCCCCGAAGCGGTACGTCTGTCTCCTCGAATCTACCCTGTCGTATCCCACTGCCGTTTCTTCTACCCTCTTCTTCCCGGGCTGGATGCAGACATTGCAAATCCTGAAGGAAACAGTCAGTCAGTCAGTCAGTCCGTCTGAGGAATCGTCGTGCTCTTTTCTCATTCGTATTTCTCCTCGACTTCTCCCTTCCTTTACGAGAGATAAAAAATCGATAAAGGCCCGGATTCAATGAGAGTTCGGGAAGAAGAGGGAGAAGAGACGCAACGCAGACGGGGAGACGAGCTTGCACGAGGCTATAAAGACAAAGGGTGAAAGGAGGGAAGGAAGTGTATATAGCCGGTCGATTCTACATTTTGCAATTCCAATCCTCGTGCTGCAACGCTGTATTGTCTCGATTGCGGCGAACGGTAGAAACGTTTCGTCGCGATCTATCCGTTTCATCGCTTTGACGTCGCCATCGAATTGCGATTAATCGCGCGCTGTTTGCGTTTTGCAGTTAATCGGTTGGGGTGTTGTGTGCGTGCGTGTGTGTTTCCGACGAGCGATCCTGTAACTCACAGACTTGTAATTGACGAGCTGTAATCGAAAAGTTGAGGTAGAAGGCCAGTAACTACCAGAACTATCATATCGTGGAAATGAAGTGGAAAAGTTATCCACTAAAATGATTCGATAAGCGATAAACGTTCAGCATAATAGCGAATGTTGTAAAACACAATTGGAATAAGCTATCCCAGCATCGTATCGACGCGAGACCAACATCGGTGTTTAAATTATATTTCTGGAGCGACTCTTCGCCCAACAAAATGTAAAGCCGTCCCTTCATTATTCATCTCATAAAGTTCGAAAGGCAAGCTGTCAATTTCGTGGGGAAAAAAATGTTTCGTGAAAAAAAGAAGGATTTATGCAATTCGATTATCATCGTTTTCCATGCATATCGATTCATTATAGCTTTTCTAAAATTACATCGCGGAAGCGCTATTAATCTTGCTGATGCATCACGGAATATAATCCCACGTACAAGACAGTCGTATCGGTAATTAGTGCCGATTCATTTGTCAAAGCAACGGACCGGACCGTTTTCGATTTAATTCCGATGGCGCTTTCGCGGAGTTCCAAGGAAATTACTCCGATCCCTGGGAAGATTCTTAAACGGTGAACGTTAAACCACCGAAGTGGTAAGCAATCGAAGCTGCTAGGCGCTTCATCAGCCAAATATATATAAGGTTTTACACGCTTCGCTCTTAGCTTTGAGATGTTGCGCAATTGAACAACGACTATAATAACATTTCGCTTAAACCGAGTAATATTAAAAAGTTTAGTAGCAAGAGCAACAACGAACGTATCTTAGCTGAATCAATCATTGCGACAGCAGGAAAATGCGCAACCGAAACGCTTGGCCAGAAAATACGCGCTTGCTTAGATTTCGTGAGAAATACCTCTCGTACGATTTATTACAATCGAGACACAAGTAGATCAGGATTGCGTCAGGTAGTAAGAGCACAATTTAACATGATTGCGCACGTATTGCACACAGTGGCGAGCGCGCGCGTGATTCCGAGACGCATTAAAATAATCATTAACTGGGTCGGAAACACAATGCTCGTCAATTACAATTCGCAGAATTGTTCCGCGACGAGTCACGCGGCCGACCTCACGTCAAACGTTTACGAGCCCTCCGTTTTTCTTGCCCCAGGCTCACACCGTGTATCTGGGTTAGCTTACCTTGAATTAGCATATTTCCACTTTCTAGACTGTAGCTTTTCCCCATGAGATTATGGCAGAAATAAGTGTTTCGCAAAGTAGGCGTGAAAAGTATGAAAAGTGTGAAACTATGTGCGAAAAATCCCTCGCACTTACATCATCTACATTTTCCTTCATTAGCCTGCGTTTTATACTATTGCGTTCTCCATTTGCGGAAAGTTTCTGCGTAAAATGAGCAGTGGATAAAGCAAAGCGTGCTCCATTATGTCGGGATAATTGGAAAAGGCGGAAAGTGTCCAATAATTGAAGTTTGAGAGAACATAAGAAAACCTGGTCTCATTCCACGATCGTTGTACCATAAACGATTAATGATGAGAAACGAGAATCAACTTTCTAAAGGAGAATCGCTGCTCTTTTTGACCCAGGTTACCGGCGCGATATCGATCGCCCGTTGAACGGTAGAGAGGGACCAATTAAGGACACTATCCGTTTCCACAGCTGCGAGCTGAGATACTCCCGCGTTTACTTCATGAAATACTTCTTTAACTCCCGCACAAGCGCTGTGTCCCGGCGCCAAACACTTGTCGCTTCATGATTCAGGAGCGATCCAGGAAGAAGGGAAAGAAGCGTAGGAAGAAGAGGCGACGCAAGGCGTCGGGGAGAAGGGGAGATGGATAGAACGCCGGCGACTGGAGACGAAGAGGGAAGAGCGATAGTTCACGGCGCGAACAGAGATACGGGGGCTGAAAGGACGAGCGAGCGAGCGAGCGAGCGGGAGGGAAGGAGCGTATTCCGGAGTGTGGAACGAGACGGAGGGCGACGCGAACGGAGGGCGCGAGCAGGGATGAGGAGGGATGGAAGGCGTCGGTGCATGCGCAAGAATTTCACACGTGAGCCCGCGAATCCGCGAGAGGTTCGCCTCGAGCGCGAGACTTCCTGCCGCTTCAGTGTCGTGCGCGATTCCGTACGCGGCGCTTGGCGAGGTGACAACTGTGCCAGAGCACGACTCGTGCCTCCACGCTCTCGCCGACAGACCGGTGACAGATCGCACGCGTCGTCGGGTACCTCGGTCCGGGAAGTCACGAGACTCTGCCCGTGGGTCTTGGTGCCATGATCGGACCCGGCGACCGGTCTCGTGACAGAAAGGCGCGATACAACGACGATCGAGCGGAAGATGAAATTACAAACGGCCGCGAGAAACGTCGTGGCGATTGATCGTGGAAAGCGCTCGACGCACGCGATTTACATAGAGACACGTCGTCGCCCCTGGTATGCCTCGATAATCGTTCGTACGGAATACCGCGGCCGACGACTCGCGTCAAAATGACGCGGATGTAATAGAAACCGTTTGGCAGCCGGGAGAGGATTAATCTTCAGAGCAGAGAGCAAAACCCGGGGTCCTACCGGTAGACAGGTGGCTTGTCAGTCATCCCGCCGCGAAATAGGAGCTCCTGCCGCGATAGAGCCACGCGATAGTAAATCACAAGGTGGCGGGATTTCGCGCGGCTGTCAGGCGGAAACGCCGCTCCATTCCGCTTCGCTCCGCTCCGACTGACAACACCCTCTTCAGCACGTCACGCAGACGAGTTTTACGAAACGTATCGCGCCCCGTGACGACGAGTTGGCGAGGATTCGCCGCCGCCGCTGCCACTGCCACCGCCACGTTATCTTTATCGTCGTCATTAGCCCGGAGCCATCCGAGTCGACCACTCTGCTCGCTCGCTCGACGCGACTTTCGGTTGCCGTAAATAACGCCACGCACTTTGGCGAGTAACGGCTGGCGAAAACCCGGCCGTGCGGTCCCCGGGTCGCGTGTACGTGTGTGCTACCACGGTGGAATCCCGCTCGTAATGACTCGTAATTGCGCGGAGGAGGAGCCGACGTCGTGCTGGAACGATTTAAGGGACACCTAGCAGCGCCACCCGCACCCTCCGTTTATAATGATTAGGTGCACGCGACTACGGGGATTACCTGGTTGAGGTGGAGGACCCCGAGGTGCCCCGAGACGCGAGGGTGGACGGAGACGGAGACGGTGAGGCTAACGTGAGGCTGAAATCTGAATACGTGGGTGGTTGATCGCGACCCCCCGACAAACTCGTCCCTGGTACCTCGCGACCAAACGATCCAACGGGCTGATCGTTAGCACGCTCGAGCGCGGATCGTCGACGTTTTTCGACGGTGTACTCGCCCGTTCGAGAGATTCAATTGGAAGGTGAGGTCAATTTCGCGATTATCATCTAGTTTCGTCCCCTCTTTTTCCTCTCCCCTATCCAATCGCGATTATCCTCCGCCTCTATTCCGCTTCCTTTTTTCCCCTCCTACGCGTCCCGCTTGTTCCACGGCGCGAAATCGATAGGATAATGGCGACACTAGGGTAAATATGACGCCGGAATATATCTAAATGCGGCGCCCTGATAAAACACTTGTGTTACCATTTCATTATTAACCGCTCGGTTTTTAATTGATTAAATCTCGCGCAGGCAAAATGAAAATTCGCGACACGAAAAACTCACGAAATAATCATGAACATATGTTTTATGTATCGCCGGAAGATATCGAAGTGTCAGATTTATTCCAATAATACGATCGTTATCCTCTTTGCTCTACCTTTTTTTGCGAGCTCCAATTTTCACGCAGCTGCGTGTATCGGAAGATGATCTCTATGTTTGTTCGCGACGATAAAAAAAACAAGCAACGCGACAATGGAGGAGTAATATTCGCCTTTGAAAATTCAACTCGACGGAATTATACTCGGCTTCGATCGCCGTTTTGGCTCCCGCCGTTCTTCCGTCTGTTCCGCGTGTTCGTGCGGGATGCGGTCGCGCATCATTCCTCTTAATGTTCGCCGACGATCCGTAAATCCCGCTGAAAAACGCAGCACTCTCGGCTCCTCGCGTTTCTTCTTCGTTCCGGCACTCGGCGCTCCATCTCCCCATCCCCCGCGAACTTTACCAACGTACGTGTGGCTCGCTCGGGGGTTTTCATCCCGGCGGTCTAACGAGCTCGATTACGCTCATCGGATTTCATTCGCGACGGCAGTGACGCTGCTGGATCGTCGTATTGCACGCCGTTGGTCGATCCCTCCTTACGAATCGCGGCCACGTCGCGCAAGCGTGGCTAAAATAAGAGGGACGGAGGGAAAAAGAGAACGCCGGCGGTTTTCCGAGAGAGGATAATGAAATTTTTAAGAAACCAGCGGCACGGCGGGAACGTTGCTGGAAAATGTTAACTCGGTACGTGGACTCACGTACGCTGAAATTAAGTAATGAGATGCAATTTTCACTCCCGCTCTTCGACATTCCCTTTATTCATTACTCTTTGTCGTTTATTTTAATCAAACGTAAAAATAAACACGATCTCTTGTGCGTTATTGATTGCACGGCGGGTGATATTAAAGTCACGATGAATTTATGATATTAAAATCTAAGTCGTCGCCCGCTGTCGATGAATACCGAGGGGCGGTGTGGAAAAGCTTGGATTAATAAGAACCTACCCTACCTCGAGGAGTACATTCGACACGAAAGCCACGTTTTCAGCGTCCTTCGCGGCTGCATTCATCCCCCAGCTGACGGGCTTCATTACCCTCATTGAATTTCGCTGAAAGTCGCTATCCCGCGCGAGTAGTCGAAATCCGCTTGGCGAAATAAAAAAAAATCGCATTCCCTCCTTGCGCAGGCCGCAGTGCATTTTAATCAAAATCGCTGCGCTTGGGCAAATAAGTTTCGCGTCGTCTTCGAGCCTTCTACCAAACTAGGCAGGGAACATTGTTCTCGAAGAACAAACAAGTTACCCGCGTGTCCCGTATAAAAATGCACGTCGCGAGACTTTTAAAATAGTTTAAGCGTGTGTTCGAATATGTTATATTGCTGCGGAAAGAGAGTTCGCCGGCGCCATTACGAAGTTTGCCCCGATTTCGACGAATGTCCGCTTCGAAACTCGACGACCCTTGTAATGCGTCTGGCTTTCAGGGCGTAATGGACACGTCACCAACGTTAAGCATCGGCGGCTCGAGGGCCAGGGCGGCCCTTTTGACCACCAGCGGCACCGGAACCGGCAGCACCGACAGACGGGTCGTCTTTTTAGCAAGTCAACCCTCGGTCGGCAGCAGTCACGAGACCAAGACCTGGCCTCACCATTGGTCGCCGCACACGGTATGTAGTTCATCAGCAAAAGGCTTACAGCACGCTCGAGTGACTTATCGATAAGGGTTTTAATTGCCATCTGGCATTCGGAAAGGTTAACTGAGAAATATGCGACCGACACCCTCGTTCATTCCTCGAAGAAACACTCTTGAGTTATTTCCGTTTCGCATTTTTTTTTTACATCGAGATGTATTTTCGATGCGTATTTCTAGCTATAAAATATTTTTCGAAGCTACATTATTCAATCCGTTCGTAATGTTTTTTTTAACAATGTTTACAATAAGATTATACTCTCCATTTTACATTTCATATGTTTCGACTTTCGCGAAAAATTATTTAATTCGCGCGAATGGACTGACGAATTTTTCGTTTTTAATCACGCTATTCAATTTTGCACTCTTCAATTGTACCTCGACGTCGTGTCGATGTCGATTGACGAGATTTGCTGCTCTTTTGCCGTCGATATTTTCCCCGGCCGGTTACTGTTTGCCTCTTTTACGAGATGCAATCGTTGGTACAACGAGTAACAAGTAATGCGCTAATGAAGCAATCAGAGGACATGCGGAGATTTAATTATAGTGGAAGTTCGCGCTGCGAGCTGGCCAGGGCGAAAATTACTTCGTCGTGAATAACGGGGAATCGATTTGCGCGAGCCGTTCGGACTTTTACGACACGCGGAATTATGCCGCGACGCGCGTAGATCGATACGACGCAATCGAAATTAAAATGGCCCGGCCTATCGATGCCAGGCTCTGGGACCGACATAAGCTTCGCATCATGCTGACGCACGGAAATACCTGCGCCACCGCCGACGGACGTTCGCGCGACGACAGCTGATGATTCTTGAAATAATTAACGCGTGGAGATTGACGAAGCCGTGAAATAAATAGTACGAAATCGAGCTGCCGATAATTAACCTGTCGTCCGATCGAGTCGGAATTTGGCTCAAAGTTGGCCAATTAATTAGGCGGGAGAAGAGAAGGTAAAGACTCGGTTTACAGTAAGAGTGTCTGTTCGCAAATTTTTACTCCAAGCGCAAATTCAAATTCGCGGTTTCATCTTTTGACGAGTGTCTAACGCATACCGTAACTCGATAACTATCTCAAACTAATTCCATCCTCTATGCAGGGATACGAGAGAATCCTTGGGGACGATAGAAACCGTGTCGCGGCTGACCAGTATCAACCTGTTTCACTCGACCGTTTTACTAGTGTTTCTTGGGCAGTTTTCGATCCGGGAGAAACGGCATCAACATGCGTGGATGAGTTGAAACGAGCCAGATCGGCGCGAAAATGAATCGCTCAGATTTGATTTCGATGCATTTAGCGCATTGACTGTTATCACTCGTGTCGGCCGCCCCGACGACGATACGGGCTCGCTTTGGCATTGTGATTTTCCCTTTGGTGAGAGACACGCGACTCTCTTGCTCTCTGTCCTCTCTCTCTCTCTCTACCTCCCCCTCCCCCCTCCCTCCTCTCTCTCTCTCTCTATCTATCTATCTACCTCTCTTCGCGCGGAGCGGGCAACTCTCGCACATTCGGAATTCTGAATTCCGCTCGTCACCCGCACGTATTCGGCTGCGTGCGCGTGCACGCGAGATCCATATATGCGGGATACATGGCGGATTGTATGGGCTGGGAGTGGGAGAAGGGACCGGGCGCGGATGAACGGGGCCCCGGAGGGCGTCGGACGATATTTCGGAGGAGTTCGGTACACGCGGATAGTACGGTTATTAATTTAACGGCGATGGATACGGGCTTGAGAGACTAGCATTCTGGTTCGACTCCGTATGGTGGCACATATATACCACGTGGACGCACATGCGTGCGCGTGACGACGCATACGGGGTCCGGCGGGTATTATTGATGCGACTTTTGCGTAATTCGCGGCGAATATCTCTTCGGGCTCTCTTTTCGCGATCAACGTCAACTCGGCTACCGCGAGCGGGCACAGGCGTGCTGAAAATAGCATTACGACTATCTTCGTAGTCGCACGGCATTGAGGTTTAAATATTTCATGACGCGGCTCGGACGACTCGAAACGATTTTCGATACGGGAGCTCCGTTACGACACTGTGATTAATTACGAGACGCGAGCTGGTATTGGCTCCGCGACTACTGAACATTTTATATACCCACTAGAGGGTAGACATATATCTACCAGGTTTGGCCGATCACTCCCGTCATGCCTGGTGAGTCCAATCTTGCTTTTATTATCCGCTACGTTCCAGTTTCACCGATGCTAATTAGCCAGCAGTAATTTGGCTCCCGACTGCAGCTCTCGAGCCTCCATCCTTTGTTCTCCATAATCCAAATAAAAGAAACGAATAGTTAACCGATTGATTAAATAAAAATTTGCAAATAGGAGAGATACGTTGATTTACATACGCCATACACGAGAGTGAATGGGATCGAGGGGCACTCGAGGGGCACTCGAGGGGCGCGATCTGTCTGAACGTGCGCTCTGCGAGTGTTAACGAAGGATAAGAGGGCCGTACGTGGAGCCCCGTGCGAGGTAAATGGCGCTTTGAGGGCGGAAAAGTTGCCGACGAATCCCGAACGCTCGCCGCTCGGTGGTACCAGACGGCAATTTGATATCCGCGGAAAATGCGAGGCTGCAAGGATCTCGTTACACGTTTCACGATGTACAGTCGTCAGAGGTCAATCTTGGCCGTGCGTGTAGCTTTATGGTGCCCTCCCCTCATTCTTCCCTCCGTTTTAACCCCGGGACCGCCGGCGCGGTTATAGGGCGCCGCATCGCCGGCGAACCCCCTGCTTAACCCCGGCGGGGGTTGGGGCATTTGCATAGTTATTCAGCCGCGCCGGATGAAAGTCGTTACGGGCCGGCCTTCGAGAATTTCACCGTCGAAATTATCGACCACCGGCGGCGATTGCGCCTTTCATTCGCGCCCCCGTGTTTTCTGTCGCGACGTAAAACGTGGTAAGTGGCGCGGGCCATAAATCGACGACCGATTCCAACCCTTTCAAATCCGCCCGTGTCCGTATTTATTAAGAGAGAGAAAGCGCCGGGGGGGCTTTTATTCAGATACTTTTCAGACGAGCAGGATTTAATTTAAGAGTTTCAGGGGAATTTTTAGACTCGAATCCTACTTTCGAGATCCGCACTTCATTATGCACAGGAGAGAATACAAGAATTCTCCCGATGGCTATATATTTGCTTGAGCCAATTTGCTTTTCATGTTTTAAATTATGTTAAATTATGGCTCGCTCTTCCATTAATAATATTCGGTTATCGAATAAACGTGGATTAGCGGGGAATGAATGGATTACGCTGGATTCGATCAATAATTCAAGCCCGAGCGAATTAAGAAGCACACCCCCCGTTTCGCGTATTAAGTCGGGAAACGTAATGGCCCGCGCGTTGTCGTCGCGCTGGTTCTTCGCGGCGCGGTCGATAAATGGGCCAATCATACGTAATGGGGCTTAATTCGAGTGGTAATTCGGTAATTAGCGTCGAAATGCGCTCGGCGAAGAGCGCGCTACCTTTTCGCGCGCAATTGCGGGGGAGGGGGGGGGGCGGGTGCGGCCATAATCGATATGGCGCGTTTCGACAGCGGCAATTGGGTATTATTTACCCCGTTACGTAAACACTTCCAAGGTAATCAAAGACAAATATTGTTTCCACCGCGGTTGGCACCGCGGTGAAGCGTATCACGAAGTGAGATACAAGCCTCCTGTGCTAATTAGTAGTTTAACCGGCTAATTGTGCGCGCAATTTATACCAGAGTTCCGCGTGCCGGAACCCGGCACTATACTTTGAGAGACGACACCTCTTGTTCGCGCTGAGGGATTATATTCGTCGCGTAATCTTCTTCGTCAGCTATCAGACGCAGGCGGGGCAATTATAGATATAATAGCGATAACAATGGTAACGACAACGCTGCAATATAATATTGTTCGACAATGACGGTTTTGTATTGTTTTCAATTAACGCAACAACTCTTCAGCTCAATTCTAATTTCTTCCAGTAACTTTTATTCTACATGCACTCACTAAATGTTTACTGGCGCAGAAGCTACATTATTCTTCTTATTAACATAGTTGTGGCAATAAGCGTCCCCCGTTCTCTCGCTCATAATCCGCAGAATTAGTCTCGCGTTATGACGGCGCTATTAGATCGACCGTTAAGCACCGTTCAACGACGTACTAACGCAGTTTCCCACGTTCCGCACAGCACAGATTTACGCCCGTCATCACGCGGAACCCGCGCCGCGATTTACAGGAAGAATTAGCAACACGCCGGCGCGCTCCCGTCGATCTTGCCCCGATCTCGGCGTCTCATTTCATTTCCCCAACCGATCGAAAATAATTTCCACTCCTCGAAAATAATTTCCTCCCTCTTCTTCCCTAACTTTTCCTCGTTTCCTCCGCTCGCCCTCTCCCGCACCTGTGTCTACGCTAGTCGAGGGAGATGACGTGGCCGAGGATCAGATGCATCTTTTTTATCGCGGGCCATTCGCGAGGCGCACCGATGAAAGTTCCAACAAAAATTTCGCGGTTTCCGGCCGCGCGAACTCCGCGCGAAGTTTGCCCGCTGCCGATTTCCCTGCCGCCGTAAATCAGGATTGCTCGATGACATTTTAGTGTGCGTGTTTTCTCCACCTCCCTCGATCTTTCTCTCCCCCTCGTCTCCCCGCGCTGCCGGGATCGTTGCTCACATTCGCGAATATTTTTTCCACCCTCGCCGTCATTTTCTCGCTTCCCCTCCCCCGTCATTTCTCTCTTTTCCTCTCAGTCTCCCATCTCTCATTTCGGCTTCTCCCCGGTCTCTCCCTATCTCTCCTTCTCTCTTTCGCCCAACGGTCCGGAGACTTTTCTCAAACTCCCCTTCGACGCCATTCGCACCTCCTACATTCACCCACGTCCATTCGTATTCCCGCGGCCTGCTATATCATGGCGTATCAACTGTTTTGTCAGTTTCCGGTACGAGCGCCGGATGAATGGGACTTCTTCTTGGTGCTTCTTCTACTACTTTGTGTGCCCGCGCCG